TCCCCCCCCCTTTTTTTAACTTAAAAAAAGGAAGTGAAGTGCCTCACAGAATTACTCGAAAGTCTAATTTCATGACACTACATCTCGCATAGGTTTCTTTACGATAAATCTTATCGAATAACATTTTTTGTATAATGGAAAGACAGGAAACAAGCAAAAGAGATTATTTGTTGCGGAAAGCAACATAGATAGATAGATATATTCATAGATATGTAGATTTATGTTCAAAGGTAATATGCTATCTTGTACATGGGCAGGGATTGGTTTGAAGTGAGTGGGAAACAAATTCAGAATTGGTGCATTTTTGTTCACAAAGCAAATAAATTCTCCCGACTAGATTTGTAAATTTCGTTGATAACAGAACTGATTTAATTTTAACGAGTACACCACCAGACTGCCATTTATCATTAGTTTTAGTCATTCGGTTGAGCAGGGTACAGTCACATGAACTTTGGAAACAATTAGATGCAAAATTGAAATTTGTAAAGTGGGAATGAATGGAAGGACGTGACACAGCATCGGTTACGGAGATCGCAAAGGCGTGGAATCCATCGAAACGAGGGAATTTTAACGCACGATGGAGCAACGGCGGCGAGTCTTCGCGATGAGTGGGTTCATCTGTTTCGTGCATGAATGGTCTATATCGTTACGCCCTCAGCAGCCACGCCTGATATCTGGAGAAGAAAAACGGGAGATGAACATGTAAATGACTCTGCCGCTCTCGTTTCCTCGATTGCCCCTACCCGCTCTTTTCTTTCCATATGAGGGCTATTTCCGACTCGCCTCCCATCCGGCCATTTATTGGGCAATTGGAGATCAATAGAACCTGAGGAATGGTAATTACATTTGAGACAGTTTTCCCTTTGTGGGTCGAGACTTGACAATTTGCCCGTCCAGTAGACCATCGTGGCACTGCTTCGTCCACCGATCGATCACCAAACGCCGGAAATTCTACTTATGCGCAAGGACTGAAATTAGTAAAATATTTGACTGAGGCCCTGGGGTGAATGATCATTTCCCCCTTCGGCATGGAAAGTGTTAAACTCTTTTACACCTGTTCCTGGAAATGTAACAAACCAGATGGCAATCGGTGACATCGAAAGAGGGTCTGGTTTCAATTCCTTTCACCCCATCCGAGACGAGTCGGTCGAGGCCCATAATGGCCTCGACGGCGACGTCACTTCCATGAAAAAGGAAAAAATTGAGCTGAGATCACGGATCAGACGAGGTCCAAGCCTCCAACCTGCCAACGACCAAGCCATCTCAAGCAATCGGGAAGATGCAGTTGTCCAGCTCACCTGGGATTTCGAGAACGCATATTGGGGCAACCCTTCACGTCGGAAGTCCCTCGAACTTTCTGCATAGGAGGGGCATCAGGGGGGCGAAACAGTCTCAACCAGTTTTGGAAGGTAATCAGAATGCATCGCGCCGTTTGCATCGAAAACATCCGAATATCCGGTCACCAGAACTGCACGCCCTCGAAGTGATTGTGAGAGCCGCCATATTCGAAGGTGTCACGTGACAGATGGTGTTCAACCAGCGAAAGCCGAAAGGTTGTGCGGAACCTTTTGGACACCAGAGGGGCACAACTCCCTTTTATGGTGAACTCTGAGCACGTCAGCTCGAGATTTGTCTTCGTCGGCGGCTCTGTGCGAATCCAACCCCACTTGTTTGTCTTCTCTAACCGACATTGCCGACGTAGAAGTGACGTAGCCCCTTTTGCTGAAACACAGTAGCCTCGGGGAAGACATTACCGTTCTTCTCAAACTCAAGCCTGTAACACATACCTGTTGTGGATAAGAAGCGGTAATACTAACTGTTTGTTTCTTCTTTTGTATTTGAAATTTGAGTTAGATACTGAGAAGTATGACTTCAATCAGAGAAATACGGCTATAAACCAGGGCACCCCAACAGCAGTTAAGACAACTCCAAAAAGGTTTCAGATCGGTGGTGTTCAAGATCCTCTCAGCATTCTTAAGTATATATAGTCTCGCGCCTAGTGATCGTGTGTACCCTTACCTTCGAGACACATTGAACATTTGTAACATTTATTACCACTAAAAAAAAAGAGAATAATATACGACTTTGGGATGGCATCCATAAAGCCACCCCCAGGGGACAAACGATACGCCGAGTAGAAGCAAGTCGACCTGATGCGAACCAAAATCAACCTTGATTTACCTTCTGGTCCTGCATCTAACATCGGTTTGCCATGCTTCAGTTCTCATCTTTATTTAGTTACCGGGGAATAATTCATAATTACCATTTAATTATATTATAAAAATTGCGTAACTTTTTACCACTGGGCATAGTTGAGTGAAGGAGCATACAGTTAGCAGAAAGGTTTCAAGGTTCAACCTTTTGAAGGAAAAATTGCAAAACGGTTAATGACTGTGAATAACCATTTAAAAGGGTTAACTGAATGTTTATCTTAAATGCGATGAATTCCTTATATTCTTTTCGATTGAGAGGGTTAAACATTTAACCAGGAGAGTTTTATGAATCTTGTGCGTGGATAAAAGCGTATCCATGAGAACAGGTAAAAATATTTATCCCTTCTGAGGTTACATTTATGAAGCGCTGAATGGAAAATGGTCTTTCTACATAAACAAAAATCATTTCTCTGTCTTTTCAGACGAAAAAGTGAATATTTAGGTGATCGTCTTTTTTTAAAGCGAGGGAAAGGTAGTACATGTACAGGGTGATCCAAAAGTCACGCACATCAAACAAAATATCATGGAAATACATACTACTACTCCGGATAGTCACAGAATGTGACTATCCGGAGGCTCCATCACGTAGTGCTAATCAGATGCGTCAAAATTTCGAGAAACAGGTGGTGCAAAGCACAAGCAAGCCGACAGGAAGATTACGTTCAGCCCGAAGTAGAAAATGTCACATCGCAAGAAACAGTCCCAGGTTTTTAAAGAATCAGTTTCCAGGGAAACTCATTTCCAGACTTGGAGACCCCCTAGGCCTCCTGATCTAAACCATCCAGATTACTTTCTGTGGGGTTACTTGAAAGAAAGGGTGTATGTAAATAGACTTCGAACAATTGACGAGTTTAAAGACAACATTAAAACAAAAAATTCAGGGAATTTCTGCCGCCGTCCTCAGAAGAACTGTCGAGAGCATGAACGTTAGAGCACCGGAATGTGTTACCTGAGGTGGTGGTGATCTAAGTGACATTATTTTCAAAATTTAGTGGGTGAACTAAAACTCCAAACTTCGTACTTTATTTTACTTTTTGAATTATGTAAACATATCTCTTCATTGAAGAGATACTTGAATTCAAAATGTGTCCTTTTACCACACTATGTAAGTGCATATGCTCTAAACACATGGGACTCATGACCCACCCTGAAGATGAGCCAGTTTCTCACTTTCACAAAACCCTCGAACAACTATCTTCAACGAATGAAAACAAGGTCCCTGTGTATAAGACCAATTATTAACTATTTCTAAAAAATTTTCAGAGATCATTTTTCCTTTCTTCCTGTCATTTATCTCTTACAGTAGCAGTTATTTCATACATGCGCCCCCCTCCCAACGACCCTGGCCTACACTGTTGGCAAAAAAGGTTTAGGGTATATCTTTTTAGGGGTTTACTGGATAAAAAGGTTAAATGCCGGTACAACAGTATCTCAAAGGGTTACTCGGATGTTTATAGAACTTCCTCTGAATTTTCAAATGATCCCTTTCGATCTGAAGGGTTTGATATGCAACACTTTGAGTGGGGTATAACCATGAGAGGGTTATGCACAAGAAAATGAATAAATATCTTTTTTGAGGCTGCATATTTATCCTCAATGAGATAGTTCTTCATAGGAATCGGATGTTACCAGAGTTAAGGTTTTAACCTTTTCAGGGTTTAACAGAACAGGCATAGATGACAGTGGAACACCATTTGCTAGGGTTATTTGTGTGATGTAAAGTTCCCCTTTAGACCACTAGATGGAGTTATGGAGCTACCGTTTCCTACGGTACATAAAACAGCCCTTCCCTCTTTCCCAGGAATCTCCCTCACAGGTAAGTTATATCAACTCATCTTGTGTCTCGCCTTGCCTCGTTATAGGTAGCAATAAAAGCGAGCACTTTCTCATTTATTATTCTCATATTCGCGACAGATTTCTGGATCTTAGACCAAAAGCAGCTTGTCTTCACAAACAGTAGCCCTTACATAAACAAGTAAGCTTTATTTAAATGGAACATCTAAATCTTATAAAGAAAACGAGTGTTCCTGAAACCATTCCCTGAGGTGTTCATCCTGAGTACTAGGTGATAAAATTGTGATGACATATAAGTCGCTCAATGGGGTTCGAGGAAAGCCTCTTACCTTCATGATCACATATATAATAGGAAGGTTACATATTAATCCAGGTCAGTTTATTAACCTCTTTAAAATGATCTTTTACTTAACCTATCAAGCAGGCTAAAAATGTAACCCGCAAAGGATAAATGAGTTGCAGTTGAAACACCCTTTAGGGAATAAAGGCTGACCATTTTTTCTAACTGTGTAGACTCTATTCGCGGGCTCTCGACGAAACGATCGGCGAGTTTCTTTCATCAAAATGACATACTGTATATAAAATACAGTGTATGAAGGTTTATGAGTCAAAGCGTCTTTGGAATCGAAAAGCATCACAAAGAAAGAAAAAAAAAGCGCTTGGAATGGAACATAACAAAGCTCCATGAGGGCTCTACGACGTGCCATAATTTTCTTTTAACCGTCAGGCAATTCACGGTAGCACTTCGAGGGAAACCATGCAAACCACCAGTAAGAAGGGATTCCACAGGGTTATACTTTCACTATGCAGTTCTTGCTAGGTCCGTTGGGTTAAAAAAGTCTGATAGAATTTCTGGGGAAATATAAGGGTTACAGATCTTCTCTCAAACGATACTGAAGAATGAAGCTACAATGTCAATGGTGTCATTCGAGATGAGGTATTCCACTCGTCCAGGGATATGAGAACAGAATCGAAGCGCAGAACGAGTCAGCATCAACGTTTCTTGCCTCGCTTGGATTTACCAGGAGCCACGGCAGGATTGGTCTGACGCTTGGATGTCTTCGGAGATTTCCGACCTTTCCGGGGATTGGGGGATTTTTCAGGGGGATGGCCTTTCCGGCGCTTGGGGGGTTCTTCAGAGTCGTCTGAATCCGTCAATCCCTTTGGAGACGTTTCAGCGCCAGCGCGTTTTGCGCCCTTTTTTTTTGGAGCATCTTTGACGTATTTGTCCATGAGGTGCTGGATGAGAGCATCCTGCTGCTTTTCCCGCTGGGTCTGCCGCTGTGCGATGGCCTCGTGCAATGACGACGAGGGACCGCCCAGACTGGTCAGCATCTCTTTGGCTTCCTGGGCTTCCTTCGCCCCCTTCTTCTGCCGCTTGGCTCGCTTCGACTCGGGTTCCCGGACGAAGGCATCGAAGGCCGGGACTTCCTCGACGGCGATGGCGTCCTGCAGGATCTGCCGGTAGCGATCCTCGTCTTCAGTCTTGTAGAACCACAGGTCTGAAAACACTCGGTCCAAATTCCCCTTATGCTTGCGGTAAAGTTCCAGGAGGTCCTTGCGTTCCTCTTCCGAGGCCACGTAGCCCTTCTCGTAGTTCTCGACGTCCTGCAAGGTCACTCGGCCGAACAGACTCCTCCAGTAGGCCGTCCAGTCCCGTTGGTCCATGACGATGTCCTCGTCGTCCAAGACGGTGCCAGTTTCGTCGTAGATCTTACGCTTCTCCGGGTCGCCGAGGACCGAGTACACTCGCCCGAGGATCTGAAAGCGCTTGGTGGCGTCTTCACGGTCCTTGGGGGTGGCCTTGTCCGGATGGACCTTCAGGGACACTTTGTAGTATGCTTTGCGGATGTCGGCGTCCTTGACGGTCTTTCGCACTCCGAGGACCTTATACAGGTCTTTCTCTCCGAACACTTCCTCGCATTGTGCCAAGAACTCACTCATTTTGCAGGAAAGTTAGACCGAGTGGAAGCAGCACAAGAACCTCGAAGAACCTCCCAAAGAAACACAGAAGCACCTTAATACTGGAGTCTTAGAAATCTCACTCCCCAGAAACTTGAAATGTTGGATGCCATAGACACATTTGCAAAGATATGCTCAAAAAGCCTCCCATTTCCCTCTCTTAAAACTCGGAAATATTACAGCCGAGTGACTTAAAAACGAACGGAACGTGCCCACATGGGATAAACTACACAATCCTGATGAAATCATCAATACGCCTATTTTCACTAAGTTTATTCTCAGATTTATATTTCCAAATGCAGATTTTGGACATCAGTGATTTGGACAGACAATGATTTCATGAAAAGAAACGGTCTAATTGAAGGCAATGTTCTAAGCTGCGATGGATTTTTCTGTGGATATAGGTCGCCCTTGGATGATTCTCCATCGAAGGCCACAATGTTTAGGTGGCATAAACATATCCGGGAAGGACGTCAGTCGGTCCCAGATGAGCCTAGTGTAACGCAGGCGTGGTTGCCTGTTTCTGCAGGCAACCACCTGCACGAGTTCGTTTCAGGCGTTTGAAATAAGGGAACAAGGAGAAGACAGGAAAATGAAGTTCCTCTATTCCAGGATCACAGCTTAGAAAGTTTGACAGTATGAGGAGTGCTTTAAGTTTTGACTTCTGACAGTCCAGGTACCAAGAAGGGGGGGGGGGGGGGCTTGGTCTTCAACAGAGAATTCACTTGGGGTCTAACAAACTAAGCAAGACATTGGCTCTTAGCCATCTACAAAGAATTTCACACTCACAACAATCATATGGGGCTTCCCAGGAAGAATAAATAAACAAGGCACACAGCCTGAACAGAAGAGTGGAGGCTACAAGGGCAGAGCACCACCGATCCACTACAAAACTCCGTCCTCCAACATCAGGACCAAGTCGAAAAGTGATAGGTCTCCATTTGGTCTGTCTTTCCGCTGGCTCAAATAAAAATCAGGATATTAGGACTTTGATGCTGAAAGGGCCATACCGATTGTGATGCACAGGAAGGGGAGGGTCCTTTCGGGACGAATCCCAGATGCGAAGAACGAGGGTCAGATGCGTATCCAGAAAACAGCAGAACGAAACGAGATAACAAGACAACAGCTATCCAGAGGCGAAACGGAAGACGACTGCACGCCAACAGGACGTCTTTTTGCGACGAAGACTGTGAAAACAGGGATGCTTGACCCTATTCTTGGAATGTGCATACAACCGCATACACAAGGCCTATTCAAAAGGAGTGACATTCAGCCTGCAACACTGGAATGCACTCTATGACCCTTCCGACGTCAGCTCATGTGAAAACGCCAGACAGGACATCGTCTGCTATAGATGTTACACTAGCTCATGCGGACCATCGACGGTTGCTTTTCCTGATGAATGCTGTAATGCCTTGACGACAGTTCACAGATGGATAGACCATGATCCCCTAAAGCAACTACCTCTGGTGAGGAGGAAATCGATGGTTGGCATGAGCGTGGGTGAACTGCGACTAATTAACTTCCTTCCCGAAAGCGCTTATGCCATTCCACTGTGGCCTTCGATGGACGACCATCTCCATATGCGGGAGCCATTTCGGCTCGGGTGTGAGTCAAACTCAGCGATGGTGAATCACACAACGTTGTGCAGTCTCTCAGGAAAAACCTATCTTAACGGAGAACAAAGACACTCTTCAAAAGCTTCGATCTGAGTCAACACTGCACATTGGCATTTAGTAATCAGCATGCAGACACCAATATCAAGAGCACGTGCCACTACTGCTGTGGCACGAATCACTGCCCTTGAATCATTCAAGGCTACACAAGTTCTTCATTTTACATAATATACCTGACTTAAACATTTTAAAGTTTGAAATGCAAAAAAAATAATGCAATTTACTTGTAATTTTACAGGTAATTTCTCACTCTACCACAGCATGAGATCTGGATATTACACTTCTGATGCTGGATACTGGTGAATACTGTATTATTGAGAAGCATACAGAGGAGTATGATGAAAAAGATGGTCTATGATGGGAAGGTGTCATCCCAAGTATTCTCATTTCCAATATTTAAGCAAATGTATTCTGAAAATAAATTTAACACAAATTGCAATGCATTCAGAGGATCACTCCAATGATATGCAGTCTCATTAGGCATCATTTGTTTCCTTGCTTTAAGTAACCATAGCAAAAAAGGAATCTTAGAAGTCATAAAGGGTTAATCTTGCAGCTCACAAGCTCATCCAAAACAAGCCTTGCGTTTGTTGAAACAATCTGCCTCCATGGAGACTGATAGGCCAGCAATCTATGTATGAATGGTATTGGTTTTATGAACAAAAAGTCTTAAACTGGCACAAGGGTTTATTACATCACTCCAAGTCTTCTGATATGACAAGGTGCAAGGGAAAGTTGGGGGGGGTCTACTTAATACAGTCCATACGACCAAAACAGAAGAGAAAAAAAAAAACCAATTCAAGAAATATTCATCGTTGAGGAATTTCAGGACATGCCAAAATCCACAAAATCTTGCCTCAAGATGAAAAATCGGGCACAAAATATACAAGTCATGATATGTTTCTCCTCATTCATCCATCCACATACACTCATGTCACACACTCACACAAACTGCAAAAAAATATATAAAAATCAAGAGAATAGGTCATAAGAGGGCAAAAAGAAACTCTCTGCAGGCTTGAGCATAATGAAATTTATGAGAAGAGCTGACTGTCCTCGAGCAAGGGCGTTGTCGCTGCTTCAAAGAAGATCCTGCAACACAAAACAGTAGTGATGTCCATTTTTTCCCTGATCATATCTGAATGTTTGTAATTGTGGCCTGGTCACACATTCTAGTTAACTTCTGAATTTGCACTTATAACATCTAAGGTGCTCTCCCAAGCTAAGGTGCTCAACTGATAGCCAATGGACAGCATTGCAATATAAAAGACAATCTCTGGTATTTCCTTTAATTTTTACTCAATTGGAGGGAGGCAATCCCTTGCTTGATGATTAGCAGAACATGTACCAAAAACTGAAGAATGACCATAGAAAGGCACAAAAGCATTTGCTTTTTAAATACATTACTCATTCATGCGATTAGAGATGCAACGATATTGAATTTTGGCCGATATCCGATATACCGATAATTCCGATATTGGAAAAGAACTGATACCGATATCTATATCTACATTTATATTCACACATTCAGGGTAGATTTTGAACAGTGAACTATCTGATAATGCTGTTTTTTTTTTTCCCAGTAAATATGCATTTTCCCCAGAATAATGCTGCATTATCAGATAGTTCTCTGTTCAAAAATCCACCCTCAGGCATTAACCCCTTCAATGTTAAGTTTTATTTTGGATCAGGTCTGATGGGGAAAGCTTGAGGTGCACCATTGGTGCACCTCATGCTTTTGCCATTTCTCCAATAGTGAGAAGAAATGTTTTCTTCATGCTGGAGCCAGGCTCTTCAATATGGATTTTAAAAATATTACATTGGATTTGCATCAGGCATTTTCTTTCCTATGTTCCATCCTAGAACTTGCAATAAGGTGGAATAGCAATTACTTTTTTTTTTCATAGTAGCACTCAGTTCAGAAAATGTCAAGAATGTCAAAGTTCCCTCCTTCATTCCTCTAATGGACACCCAGACAGACATGACTGACAAATTGTTAACACATCAGATAATGTGCCATGAAGATGNCAGACAGACATGACTGACAAATTGTTAACACATCAGATAATTTGCCATGAAGATGAAATGCAAACATAATTGCTTTTCAGGAGAATTTCTAAGGCAATCAATCATATTTATTATATTACAGAAGTTTTTATCTACAAATATATTTATGTAATACATTATATTATAAATATTCAAATATAAATTGACATTATTAATATTTTTAATAAATTAGGGCTGCATCGACATATTGACAACCACAGAGATTGGCCTCTGGTGTTGCACCATTGACGCCATGGCTACGGCAAGGTTGGAAGCTGTCGATGCCGAAGCCTGGAGGGCAAAATGCAAAAAAAAAACTACCTGAGTGTGAGCGCGGCTTGTTGCCGGCCCTCCTGTCTCGCTGAAAGCCTTCCCTGCCGCCCTCTCCCAGAAAAAAATATCGATCAGATTATACGAGAAGTCCTCGATTTACGTCGTTTCGATATTACGTCGCTAACATATACCCCATATACGTTGCGTCGTTTCGATATAACGTCGTAAATCGAGGACTTCCTGTATATAATTTAGTCCATGGGAAAATAGGTTTCGTTTTACGTCGTGTTTTCCGGGAACGCATTCACGACGTAAATCGAGGACTTATTGTATTTCAGCCCGATTGTAGGAACTGGTGGAGGAAAATAGCCGTAAAGACTGTGAAATCATTGCATCTCCTTTCATGCTGTGCATTAGCGAGTGGTGTCGTTAAGCGCTCATAGCAATAGGTAACCATGACGGACTCACTGACGGACAGGCTGAAAAGGTCTAAAAGTGGTCTCTATCGTTTTCAGGAGACTCATTGATTAGTATCATAAGGCTTCCAAATAGGCCTATTCGTATACGTATGCGATTTCATGTTACTTTCGCAATCTACAGAGTATAAATCATTATCGGCTCCGGCTCCGGCACCGGTCGATGGGTATGAGTTCAAAATTTGCCATCAGTCTACCGGTCAAATGTGGCCATCGGCACAGTCCTAACATGAATATAAAGATGATAAAATTCCTGAAAATCGGTGGTTCCAAATGGAACCTCTGGGCAGGAAAGAGTTGAAATCAGACTAATAATCTAGTGATTTTGGTACCGAAGTTTTGGGATCCATCTAGGCCTGGATTCTTCGCGCTTACATAAGCGATGTCTATTTTCGTAGAAAGTAAGGAGTAGGCTATGGTAGTGGCATTAGGCCGAGTTAAGTAGATGACGCTTCTCATCTCTCTCTCTCGGGTGACTGGGTAATGAGCTTATATCCCGTGACAAGGTGGCCTGGGCTCGAACCTAGCCGAGTCAAGTGTATATTTCCTAGTTCCAGCGCCAGCGTGCTTGGGAAGGGAGTACCCGAGCACAGAGCGCTCCCATCTCTAGATGTGGGACGTTGAGGAACCGCGGCAGTGAAGGTCGAATCCCAGGGGAATCCCAATCCAAAGGGGAAAAATGCTTACATTTTCAGCAGCCTAATACTTCTTTTTTTTTTAACGGGTCATTTAGGCATTTTCAACCTTGTGCAGTGTTTTCACTTGAGTTGGACATTTTTTTCACTTGACTTTGACACTCATGCATGAGGAACGTCCCACGAACGTGTGTTCGAGTCAAGTGAAATGTTGTCTAATGGGAAAAAGGAGAGAATATTCATCACTCGCTTTACATACTTAGCGTTTGTCATACTCCAAGAGGAATTATTGGTGGACAAAGTCCAAGAACTTTTCAATTGTTCCTTGTATGGTAAGGAACAATACAAGCTCCTGAGACATGTCTATGAAGTTGATTTTTTATGTTGATCTGGTGGTGTGCTTATGAAAGCTAACTCCCGGTCATAGACAATTAAGTTTAGAAATACTCACCAATCTGTATATTCACTTGAGGACTAAGTCTGGGTTCCATGATTGAGAGCTTTGCAAAATTTACAACTCTTCTCTGATAACTTCACTTTTTTCCAGCCATTATACTGCTGTGAGATAATTTTCATGTCTGGGAAAGGAAATCTCCACACTTGGTGGATAAAAAAACCCCATAGCATTATAATTGAGACATGAATATGGAATACATCAAAATACCATACACTGATCATTCAAGTAATAAATAAACAAAAACTCAGGACTTCCTCACTCATCAACTCAAGGGTTCCCAAAACCATATTGAAGGAGACCTTCCAAATTATCATCATCTAGGACTCACGGGAAAGACAAAAGTCAGAGCTTTTCTCTTTCAATAGGGACTCTCTTTACCACATGAGAGATGAGAAAGAAGGGGACTCACGGGTGGGAGTATTTCCTTCTAATGGTATTCAGGTGGGGTTTGGGAGGTTGATGAAGCATCTGATTTAGTTTCAGGATTTCATCCTTCAGCTCCTCTAGGTCATATCCTGAATAGTACTTGAGAGTTGGGGTCCACGTGGAGATATTCTTCATCCGTAGGGCTATGAACAAGGCTGCAGCAGCCAATTTGGATTGCCTTAACCCGACTAGGCTGTACTCTTGCAGTGATGTCTCCAGGATCCAGCGGGCAAGGGTCAAGTCAGGCAACTGCATGTAGATCACCTAGGACAAAACAAATGGGGATGCTAAAATAATGGATTGTGGAAAACAGAACTTGTGAGTAAAGATAAGACAAAACTGAAGTTGGACCAATATTTTACATTAGGGTTCCAAAATTTCCAAATTTTCAATTGCTGACATCAATGTTAGATCTGTCAGAAAAGTTGAACAATACTGCACCTGAAAAAATATATTTGCGTTCAGAAACTTTACTTCCCGTGTCTAGCAGGCTAATAGATAGGTGCTGCATTATATCACAGTAAGAGCTTGCAACCAAGTGAAGGAAAACCTATTCTAGGAGGCACATCTCCACACTACCCTATAGGCAGGATATCTTTTCCACTTCAATGATGAGATCAATTATGCTGTTTCATATTGATATTCTGCATTCATAAAATCTCAAAGCAGGGTATGTTCTGCCCCTCCCTAAGGTGGGTGCAGTAATTATTTTTGGGGAGAGGAGAGTGGAATTCTGTCTTCCCAGTCCCCTGTTGGCTACATCCAGAGGCATGTGAAATATGTTCATTCGGAAAAGCCCATGGACCAAAGTTTAATTGAGCTAGGAATCAGGAATAATTCTCAGTTGAGAATTATTCCTAATTTCTGATTTGATGAACACCAGAGGGCTGATACAACTACACGAGACAATTTGTGATTAATGTCAGTACTACCATCTTCAATACTGGTTGGAATAGGCCAGGGGTAAAAAATGTTGCCCACAAAATGCTCTCTAGGTGGCCAGTCACCCACCTGCACATTCTGAAAGAGAATCATTTTAGGCCCAATATACACAATATGAGGTAATGGTAATTATTCATTCTACAATTTTATGATTTGGCCAACTCATTTTGGCAATGATGCACATGCAAAAATGAGTTTGAGATCCTTCAACTATGCAAACAGTACTGGATATCAGCCAGATCCCATAATCTTCGCTTCTCTGTATCAATATGAATAATTTCCCACAACCTCTGCCTGATCTGGAAGCCTAGAGGAGGCAAAAGTATCATTGATTGTTGCAACCATGAAAGTGTCCAAGAACAAGTAACATATCATGGTGTCAATACAACACCACTCTATTTCAAACTTTCATTTTGAGAGTTAATTGAAAATCCCTTACTTTATCATGCAGCAATGAAAGTAGCTTAAACATTAAAAAAAAACTGTCAGCAAAGCCACGCTACCATTACCATTGCAGGGTAGATTTAATTTCATGAGGATATAAATAAGAGCACAGAAATGCAGCCTTGAATTTCAAACACACCAAGAATATGGCCTTTTAATATTTTTTTTTAAATTACACTCTGCTGGATCAGGATATCTGAGAAAATGCGCATGATTGATTCTGATTCTCACCCTGGAATATCTGCGGAGGAAGGTGTAAGAGATGGGGAAGGTGAGCTGGAAGTCAATGGTGCGCAGGACCTCCTGCTCCATTAGGATCATCTCTCTTCGTGTGTATGCATTGTCGCACACATACAGGAAGTCACTCAGCAGTGGTGCATACCGTTCCTGCAGCATTGCATCACTCATGTCAGTCTCATTCACTACTAGGCTTCAAAGTAAATAAAACCATCCAGTTCAACCTCTGCATACAAAAAAAACCTGCAGGGGCCAAAGTCAGACTGACAAGAACAACCTCACAGGAAAAATTGCAATAAAAAGTTTGAACTGCTCAGAAGCAAAATAGTTACATGAAACAATTTGAGTGTTCCCAAATCTCACAAGTTACCCTCAATACTTAAAGAGTAGGAGCAAAATGTAAAGAAAAATCCTTTTAGTCCATATTTCTGGACAATTTGAATTTATACTTAATTTTAAAATAAAATTTTTGGGATAGGCAGTGGTCATATGCTCTAGTGTTTCTGCAGTCCTGTAGGAACCCTGCTGCCAAATCTGATACTTTCAAGGTGGTGAACTTTTTTTTTTTTTTTTAAAGATTTTTAGGAGGATTTACCTCCCCACCCTCACTTTGGGTCATGAGCTGAGAGGATTTACCAGAAAAATAAGGTTGCAGATACAAGCTGCCTCAGTGAGGTTCTTGCAGTGGGTGACAGTGTTATATGTGAGAAGAAGCAAGAGTGCCACCATATGCCAGCTTCACATGAGGTAGCTACTTTTTCAGATCAGCATATCTAAAGCCTATTGTTTTTGACCCAAAAGATTTTTCTAAAAGTCTCCCAGTCAAAAATGACAAGACTAGTTGGTATGTCTCATGCGAGGTAGGCAGAATATGTTGTGAAGCTTTGCTATGAGCTCAGCATTCCATCTGGTGAACTTAATTCTGTTGCCAAGGACCATGAACATCAGAGGATGCTCCTGAGTCTGCTTAGACCTTGAAAATATTAAGTTGGGGTGAGAGGCATAAAAAATGGATTTAGACAGTGTTATTCTATATTAAGTTATTTGATCAGAAAATCCAGTTTAAGTAAGTATTTACATATAAAGGAAAGCAAGTAAATCACTATCAGTGAAGAAGTAACCACATGAAGTGGTGCAGCCAATATTTAAAAAAATCATATAATGAAAGATAATTAGGGTTCAGAAGGAATGATGTGACAGTCTGACCTCCATCTTGCAGGCAATGAAGAGAGCAGTGGCTCCAACAAGCTGGAGCCTGGCCTTTGTTGTCTGGGCCTTCATGAGATAGAGATCCACAATTCGTACTGCCATATACAGGGACTCGTGTGACACCTCAAATGTCTCCTGCAATTCGACCAGCCAGTCCACCAAGATTGCACGCATCGATGCTGTCACCTCCCTCTGACGGCTCAGGTAGTCATTCACCACAACCTCACTCTGTCGATTGCGAAAAGCAAACCATGACAAGAATCTCATCTTGGAACTGCACTGGATCAAACTTAACATTGACTTTGCTCACATCTCACTGTTATTCAGTCTGGTCAGAACAGAGGGATTCAAACTTTCATAGTGAGCTTTCTACAGATACATTCATACAACACACTCCAGCTAGTAATAAACTTCCACGAATAATGACCCCACTCCCTTGGTCCTTCTGAATCTATTTACATGATGCCAATCAGAACCAGCACAAATCAGAGGAATCAAACATGCACATGCTCTGGATATTTCAGTGGATTTAGCCTAGTTAGGGAGACAGTACCTCTCTCTGCTTGTAATATTCAAAGATGTGCCAGGCATAATTGCCACACTGAATGGGATCATCAGCAGTTGCGAGATCAAAGTCTTCCACTCCTTCTGGCAAGGTATGCATTGACAGCGAATGGTCCACCTCCATTGGCTCACACTCTGTTCTTCCATCTTCCCCTTTGCTCCTGTGGAATGAGAAAATAAAGAACTGAAGTTTGTTATCAGGGTCTTGGAAAACAAACCCAATCAGTCATGCATGCTGATCAAACACAAGACTACCAAAATAAGTTAACAAAAACAACACTTCAAGCCATCAGAAAATGCCTTCCATAGAAAGCAAAGCCCTGTAATGCAAATTGTAGGACCAAGTCTCATGAACATTAGGATGCCAGGCAGAACAAAACTGCTGTAACAATGTAACAATGGAAGTCTTAGGTCAATGGGCTAAAGCAGGGGTGCACAACTCAAAAAGGCTATGAGGGCCATAAGCAATTTTTACTCACCTATTGTGTGCCAGTTTTACTGACCATAGCTGTGGCCAACAAGGTAGGAGCCATAGTACAACACCACCAGTCATGGTGGGCTGTGGGCAAGGACCTAGTGGGCCATATGTTGTGCACCCGAGCTAGCGGTTGGTGCTGTTGCTTCAGCCAATTATGACAAATAGATGGGGTGTTGGCATGGCATAGGCAATGTTAAAACCTGCATGTATTGCAGATAATGCAATAATAGTGGCAGATTCTGGTGGTTGCTGATGCATAGGCATAGTCCAATGCAAAACTTATTTTGTCACATGCAAGGAGTCAAAAATGAGCTCTGCTGATTTCCTAGGGAGGAATGACCCCCTTGGGATCATCCAAGAGATGGCCCTATATGTCTGGAGAGGAATTTTAACCACCTCAAAGCTACAAGTTTAGTTCCCTTCACTTCCCAGGACAAAAACATTAGCACATATAGGGAAAAGCCTACCCCACTTACAAGCCTCCTTTGTCTGCACTGTCACAAATGAAAGGTGAGACATATGAAGGGTAAATGGCTGAGGAAGGACATACAAGTACAGGTTTCTTCTCACCAGACTCCAAAATACACTCAAAGAGTTGCATTCTCTTTTCCTCCAGGCATTTGAAAAGTGATAACTTACTTGTTTACACCAGCTTGTCAACTCAATCCTATTCCAAGAGAAATCCAAGATTTTCTTCCATAGGAGGATGATGTGTACCAATGGATCCATTTATCCTAATGTATTATGTCTTAAGGTAGAAAAACCAGAAAAAAGAAACATTCCTTCCTGAAAGAGTTGAGGGGCCTTTGACAATCAGCAAGGTGAAAGCACAGGCAATCGCAATTGAAAAGTTTACCAATGAATGGTTATGTACAACACAATCCAATGGGGACACAAGAAGCTGAAACTTGTCATGTAAATTATTAGCATTATGGGCTTCTATGAATGTAAGAAACAAGCATCAGAAATGTGGGGTCCTTTTAATGCAGGGAGTGGGATGGGATGAGAGTAGGTTTAGACAGTAGAGAAGAAAAAAGAGTTTGAATATGATAGACTTGTCACAAAAGGATACAGTGTAAATGAAGCACAAATGCTACAACGATCTAAGAATTACTGCTTGATGTGGGCTCCATGCTGAGTGATAACAGCCTCTATGAAGGGTAGGGAAGGGGCAGTCAATTGACCACCTTTTGATTGGTTCCAGGTCACTTCATCCACTGACACTTCCCCTGCACCATTTAATCGACTAGACACTGGGCACAAATAACCATCCCATCAAAGAAGTGTCAAGTCTAAGAAGTGGTGCAGGGGAAGTGTCTTTTGGAGAAGTGACCTAGAACCTTTTAATTGACTATTATTGATCACTCTTATTTTGTTCAATGAAAAAAGAAATTTTTATTGAGCTCATAACTGCAGTCATTTATCCTCCAGCACTAAAACCAAAGAGCCAGTTTTATTTTAAAGTTATATTCATGCAGCCTGTCAAACATCTGGACTGTGGCACCCATTAGGTAAGAAAATATTATAGCTAATGCTCAAACTACCATGACCTCACATAAGTGGTGTAGAGGGTGAGTACAGGCATAGCCTACTGTTCAAGGTCTTACAGCCTTAATGACTTTGAAAGTTAAGGTTCAATATCTAAATTACAGCTTCAGAACATTAGTTTAATGCAAGGTCTATTGTATTCTTGGCCAATAGTCTGTATTAAGAGCATAAAATTCTCTGAGTCTGTGATTTTGGACAAGTAAACTTTCTTGGATTATTCCTAGGACTGTGCCTAAAAAAAATTAATCTAGCTATGAAGAACTTCCTTGAGCAAGACAGAGGCTTTTTTCTGCTAGGAACAAGAATAAATACTTATACAAGAAACCAAGAAACTCCAGTTCTGGATACTATGTGTTGCATTCCTCATTATTCAGAGTACTTATGGAGCTAACTAGTCACAGAATTTATCTCTGAAACATGACAATCAGTCATGTTTCAGAATTTTCAGAGTGACTGTTTAATGTTCCAACTAATACAATCTGTATGGTAAAGTTTATCTAAATGATGAGATGATGACAAGTAAACATGGTCATTTATGATCATATACAGTCATAAGGCCTAACCTCTTGTTGGGCTCATTGACCATTATTACCCATCAATGGTTATAAATGACCATGTTGACCTGTCAACCTCCCATGACTAGTCCATCACATGTGAGTCATGACATACAAATGAAGCACAAACTGTGATCAGGTGATATTATTTTAGTTAGGTCATGTGTCATCTTTGATAAATGGAGGATTGATTCAATTTAAGTAGGTATTATCTCATGTTCACACCATATGTATATCACAAGGTCTACCAAGGTTGTTGGAAGATGGCAGACTATGCACTGTAGCTTTTGGTGGGACATAATCCAGGAGCAAAAATTGTAATTACAGATAAAAATGATTTTTTCAAAACCTAAATGAAACTCACTCAAGAGTTTCAAGCGATGAGTAATAGATGGACTCTTCTAAAGACTTCTGAGATCCCTGTGAGGATTTTAGGCTTTCCTCTTGAGAAATTGGAACAATGCTTTCTGCAGAAGAATCAGAATCACTCTGTATGCTTGATTTTGAGGTTTTCTTCTGAGACTTCTTTCCTGGTTTGAGGAACTCTGGCTCATTTTCTGCTAGACCAGTCCCCACCACAGACTGGAAAAGAATGCATCAATAGGAGACATGTCTTGTATCAGCCAGCAACCAGAAAGAACCATTCTTTAACAAAGAAAACAAACTTTTTGGAAGACCATTACTTCATGCAATGTTACACTATTCCTGTCTGAATGTCTCTTTTCAAAGTATTAAACTATCTTAAATACTAATGCATAATTCAGTTGTGGAATGTGAAAGATAAACTTAGGTCATCCTATTTGTCAATGGGCTACTTCTGAAGATTTAGATTTTGATCTGCAAAGCCTTCTTGAAATGTTTATCCAAAAAAATATTTGAAAGTAACATTAGAGAGCCTTTACACACAACAAAATCCAATGTTTTAATAAAAACAGATTAACTAAAAAATTAGAATCTTGCTGGCAAACTCCTTATTGGAACACTTACATTGGTCAATTCTCCAAAAGCAGCTCTTGACCTGGTCATCACTGGCTGTTTCCGTAAAGTTGGTCTCTTGAGATTTGGTTTCGTGTTAAGTCCATTTTCATTGGCCCGAGTCAGCCGTATCTGGCTCTTGTTTCTCACTGGACCCATTTCTTTTGCTATCAGGGGGCCACCTTTTCAGAAAATCTTCAGTGTCCTCTATTGAGGTGAGCTTGAGTCCTTTGATGCAGATCACACCCTTACCAGAAAACCCCCTATCTACACTGGGTCAAAAATTTCCTGTCAATTTTGGTCTCCAGGGTCAGGGCTGGAAAACCTATGATACATCATTGAAAGCATATCAGGGTAGTACCTCAGTATCTGATATAGCACTAAAAACCTAGATAACTAATAGGACTCTGTTGGCCTTCAACTCAAAAAGAAAATGCACTAGGCCTAGGTTAGGCCTGGACATGTTGAGATCCAGTAAGGACTCATAGCATGTCCATAACAGATCAATCAATGGCTTAAACATTGGGAAAGTTTTCTGTGCATAGGAGGTCAATAGGAGGTTCATTGTTAAGGTGACCAATTTTTTCGTTAAAACCGGGACTTTTTCGTAAGAAATGGACCAGATCTTAGTCCTTGCAGTGTGGAAACGCCACGAAACCAGAATAAAGAGGAAAATTCAAACCGAGACGACTGATCACCTAACTCATTGTGGGCCTACTGGGATGGCTATTAGACGGTTGACGAATGGGTTACCCCTATCAAAGGCCTTTAAGCCTTATGGTGGGGATTACTGTTACGTTGGGTCGCGAAAACGTTAACGACTTTTTCGAATCGGCTTGTGATAAATTTTCAAACTCAACAGAAAATACCAACACAAAATACATTTGCCAATGATGTAACCTAATTGGCGTGACATAGAACTAACTTGGTCGAGGTCACAACTTGAAAGCCAAGCTAGCCTAAACGTCACTCCAAGGCTCGGGCTAGCTGGCCGTGCCGTTAGGATCAGGCTCTGGCCCTACAGCCTAGTATAGAATTAAGGCTTAACTTAGGAAAGGGGATGAACGATCAACATCATCGTCGAACTGAACGACGGAAGAATGGCGCTGCGAACATTGACTTGGACAGAAACCGCGATCCGCTGGCGCCTCAGGACTACTTCCATGAACACAACACGAATGAACCAATCGTGTGCCTCCCTTCGCCGTGTCGTCTGCTACAGAACAGGGTTGATGGGTGCTACGCTGCCTCATGGTGGACAAATGGAGCATTTGCTTAAGTTCCTCCGGTAATTTGTATCGTATATCCAGTGGCGGTCCGTGAGAAACCGGACAGGGTGTTCAAGAAGTAAGCCGACGAAGGGAGGGAGTCACATTCTCGCACGGTTTCCCTGAAAAACATGTTTGGAAATGTCACGACTTCCGGAGCGGATTTTAAAGCAAATGATCAATAGAATTCAGAGTCCGAGGAAGAGTTGCCACATTTCCTTCATCCTGGAGCACAGTCCAGAGGAATTTCTATGCAAACGTCCTGTAAAATACGGGAGAGACGGCAGTCGTTGTCCGAGGTCGCATCCGTTTCCATAAACGTTTCCGTCGCTTCTGCACGAATTATCACCCTTTCCAGAAGGTAATTAGAGCAGAAGCATGACGAGTTCAGTCATGAGACTGAACTGGTCAGGTCAGGGTCATTAGCCAGGTTGGCATTTTCCGATGAACAGACAGAGAAATATCCGAGTGCTTGATACAACAAGCCTTTCTCCGAAGACTGTTCTTAAAGTGATCATGTCCAGCCCCGATAGAAAAGCACCAGGGGCTGATTCGGACACAAACGAACATCTCAAAGGTTCTGCATTGCTCTTAGCCGTATAGTGGACAAACCTATTCAATCTCTGCTTATCTACCAGTACCCTACCGTCTTCGTGGAAAATTGGCGTGGTAAAAGCGGAATCGCTCGCTAGTCCCTCTAAATTCATCGTTTACCACCCTATCCGCTCACTTCACTTCACAATCAATCTCCCGAACTTGTACGTGATTCTCCTTTATATTGCCAAACTGCCGTACAAAACTAATGAGATACATGTGAAAATGACGGCGTCACACTGACACACCGACACTTGCTGTCTCATTTTCTCTGATAAAAGGCTGACCTTTGCAATGGGAGAAAATCATTTCCAGGATTCAGGATAGTTAGTGATATCAAGAGGCGACTTCGCCCATTTCGATATCACGTGTCGAGGTCGAGCATTCCTTAATTTTAGGGTAGGCCTAATCCTCTTAAATCTATATATTTTTGTATTTTTGTTTTGTTTTGTTTTTTGTTATTTGACTATCCTAGTTGCTTACTGTCTAGTACCTAACGTCAGCATTGCCCCCCACCTTTTTGCCTGTCCATGAAAGCATCTAGTTTCTTCTTAAAGATAGTCACAGAAGGGGCAGCCACTACTTTGTCATCTAACGCATTCCACGCGTTCACCACTCTGCAAGTAAAAAATTCCTGTCTCGACCTGAGCCGCACCTGCGGTTTGCGCAACTTAAGTCGGTTACCTCTCGTTCTCTTGCTGTCATCAAACTGGAAAAACCTACCACACTCGACATTATCTATTCCTTTAATTATCTTGAAAGCCTGGATGAGATCGCCCCTCCTTAACCTTCGTTCGAGCGAGTACAGTCTCAACACTTCTAAACGCTTCTCGTATGATAGTCCCCTGACCTCCTTAATCATTCTAGTGGCCCTCCTCTGTACTCCCTCGAGCGCCAACAAATCGCCCTTATTTGTAGGCCTCCAAAACTGGATGCAATATTCCAACTGGGGTCTTATCAGCGCCGCATACAACGAAGAATAACGCGAGATGCCCTACTTGCAACCGACCGATGAATGTAACATAGAATCCTGTTGCATTTGGCCACTGTCGCTTACGCGTGGGAGGAAAACTTGAGGTCCTCATCGATAGAAACTCCTAAATCTCTCTCTCCGTTTGCCTCATCCAATTTAACATCGCCAAACGTGTCGAGAGATCTACCGTTGTTTCGACCGACGTGGAGAACTTTACACTTACTTTTATTAAACCTCATGAGTCATTTCTTGCTCCACTCGTCCAAAAGACTTAAATCTCGCTCGGCTCGAGCCCTATCAGCCCCTCCCCCCTTATGGTAAAACCTATCCTGCTGCCCGAATGAGCTTTGGTGCTCTCCGAGACTAGCTTCCCCGCCACTGCTTATTGACGTATCTTCTCTCCTCTCATCTTACACACTCCACGTACATTGATTGGAACAGTAAACAGTAAAACGAATGGGTCATGAGTTGAACCGTCCTCTCTACCCCTTCCCTACCTCCTCTTCTCTCCTCCTCCCCTTCCTCACTTTCCCCTCTCGTCGCTACATCTCCTGTCCGGTTTGTTTTTTTTTTTCCCCTTCCCCCCCTTTTTTTTTTTCCTTCGTACTGTACTCGGAGCAGATTATCATTGATCGCAGACCTGTTTCTGAAATAGTTTTCATTTTAGTTCTACAAGTATGGGATCTGTGGTCCCACTCCCTCATAAGGAGCTTTACGATTAGGAACGGCTTTCTCCAAACACTTTCCTCACCGGTTGCACATTTGGTAAAGAACGTTTTCACTTTTCAACTCATTGCTTGTAGGCCAAATTCCAGTCTCTGTAATTAATCACTCCAGGATTATTCTGTGCCCAATTGTCAGTTTTTCCATTGTCATACACAGTGAATTAAATGAGTTCCCCATGACAGTATTTCCATCGGAGTGGATCCAGTCTATTGAAAGTAATCCTTTGGCAAGTGTGTACCATTAATACAGTATATAATTCTCTGGATGTTTTGTTTTTCACTATTTTCTACGAAATTTTTTTCTTACCGAACATTTCGAATCCTACAAATAACGTGGAATGGGGTCATTGCAATATGCAAACCTGGCCATTCGACATGATAAACCTCACCCATGCCTAGCAGGAAAAACAACCATTTTCACTGACATTTCAATGCGTACCAGTCAATCTGGGATCAATCACTAAGGCTGCAGGAAGAGGATGCACATTCTCAGCACAACCAATATTAGCCAACAAATATTACTGTTCAGATTGACGAAAGGTCTGGAAATGTGCATAGAGGAGAAGGGGAATTGAAAATTGAAAAGAAAAAGCAATTGCAAGAAGAGAGAATCTTGGACGAAGGGAACTTGCGGCAATAAAAAAAAAGATAAGACTTCGGAAGCCAGTTTACATTTGTAATTAAATTGGATAATTAAATGATGGGTTTTAAGAAGAAACCATTAATGAAACCCAAATCATGGTCCTACTCAAGATCTAGTTCATGATATACAAGAACATCCTGAAGAGAGCAGGAAACCTGGACGGAAGCGAGAGGGTGGCTGGGGTGGAACCTGCGACACCACTGCCTAATGAGTCCGGCATTGCAAATGATCATATTGTGATATTTTTGTGGAATCGAGTCAATGGCTTCCATGAAAGCCATCCACTCTGGATGGCTTTCATATCATCCGCTCCATTCATCGTTATGCCCCTGTACCGTTAGTGACGATTATGATGGCCTGGTGCCTCTGAAGTTACGTCTCTCCAGAGCCTCATATCTTCCATATGGTGGCCCTGTTATCTTTCGTCGCCCACCTGGCCGGACGGTCGATCGAGTCGTCCGTCACAGGATTTCTCTGGTGACCCGAACATCGTGACCCCGACATTGCCAGGCCAACAAAAATATGAAACCGCGAAATTGTTTCCTCCTGAATCTTGAAAACAACCAGTTTCCAAATAATCGTGTGCAAACAAGATATGTAGCTCAGTCTGTCCAAACCAGTCGTATAAGTTTTGTATCTGTACGGCCATATTTAGGTGAGATAAGCATACAAATGGAATCATGGCTTCACCTCTCTTTCCATCAGACGCCGTTCTTCGTACCCCCCCCCCTCCCCCTCCATATTTCCATAATGACATGGTTTACAAAAAAAACTCTTGCTGACGAGATTTCTAGTCCAAGGTCGACCTAGCCGGTGGTATAAATACAGTAGCTGTATCATTATATTTAAGTCAGCATTAAGCTGTATACTCATTTTTATCCTCACAGGCACGTGTATCCTGGCACATAACTAAGTTAACTGAAGCATTGATCGATTTCCTGATAGAAAATTTCAGAGAATGGCGCGCTTTTTCCCCCCGCACCCGGTACATTGTCATGAGATGAACGGGGAGAGGATCGTCTCCTCTTCATGGGATATCGAATGAATTTCAATAAAAAGTTCAGCGTTGATAACTATCCAAGTTTCCCCCCAAGCTTAGCCTATTCAGATCATTCTTTGCACAC